TACGTCTGGATGAACCTGAAGAAAACGAGGCCATGTTTAACAAACGCGAGACTCCGACATATGGTGAAATACATCGACTTACACTTGAGGTTCAAAACCATATTTGCCTGGTCCAGGTCCTTTCTGCAGAAGGGCAATGTGAAATCAACACAGGAATAAAAGCGGCTTGGATCATTTTTGGAAAACTGCAAGTGTTCCTGTTGAATAAACTGCTCTCGTACTTGAAGACTGAAAGGTACCAATGGTGGACTGAGCAACGATGGAAATATGCATGCTGAGAATAAGAAGAAAAGAGTGGAAGACGAATGAACTGATTAAAGCACAAACAATTCATTACAGTATCATTGCTCGAGTGTCGAAGTTAAAATGTCAATGGGAAAAGCACACTTAGCAAGAAAACCGACCACCGCTGGGCCATAATCACATTAAGTTGGGTTTCAAGAGAAAAGGCACGAAGGAAGGCTTTTTCATCGACAGGAGGCTGAGCTGAAGAAGTTCGCAAGATCAAAATGGATGAAAATGAAATTAGACAGAAGTCTAGAGCAAAGTCTTGGAGAGCACTTCATCCAACAGCGGATATGCAAAGGCTGCAGAGAGTGATAAATTGCGTAGACCTGACTAGCTTCAGTGAGTTAATTTAAATAGCGAAGAGAGAATTTCGATCACGATTTAATGAGGCAACATTTACGCGTCGTTTTTAAAACATCTAAACAGCCTTAAGCTAAATCGTTTTCACTAGGGAGAAAAAAATCCGCACCCTACCCTTATTGGATGTGCTACTAAGGCACCACCTGCAGGCATATCTGACCACCGTCTTTCGCAATAAGACGCAAACTGACAGGTATCTACATCATTCTTTTTATATGGCCGGAAGATATACACAACAGATGATAATTTTCGCCAAAAACTAAATTACATCAGATCATCACATTGCTAAAAAAGAACGGCTATCCTACGAAGACTCTTAAGGAAGGTTTGGCAAGTTTATCAAAACAAAGGGCCTCTCCACGCTCACCAGATAATAAAACCTACATTACCTTGCAAACTGAGTGAAATGCTGCGAAGTATCTGATCTGCTTCCGGACTCTTAAAGTAGCCGACTAAGCCACATCAAGACCTAGAAACATAAGGAGCAAAAAGCCGGTTAGGTGTACTAATTTCTTTGCTCCTGTGGTGCGGTTTACATAGGCGAAACCGGTAAAAAGGCTGAAGAAAGGAAGACAGACCACAAGAATTTGATCAGGTGGAAGAACGCTAATGCCAGAGAAAGGGGGCAACGGTAAGTCGGAAGAGGTCAGAGACAGACCAAAAACCCTGAACTCCTAAAAGCAAAATGAGGAAAATTTCCGCCACTGTGGAATATGCTCTTACCCACCAACACAACATACCGTGGGGCAGAATGAAAGGTATCGCGCGAAAACGACAATACGTTTTTCCATATAGACAAGGAAGCGTTATTGATCGGTGCAACCAACTGCATTAATCATGACCTTGGAACAGACGCAAGCGACAAACATCAGGCGGTCCCTTAAGACCAGGAAGCAAACGCGAGCCATTAATATTGGCATGACTTGGCTGGTGTGATCTGAATACACAAATTTTCAGAATTTTTTTAATAATGTTAAGAGGATTAAAAACAACAGTGAAAAAAATGTTTTCAAAGCTGCTCCTTATAAAAACGGAACAGAAAGGTGACAAAAAGTTCCAGTTAAAGATATCGAATATACATAGGTATAAATATAAACCGTAAAAGCGAAAAAGCTGCAATTTCAGGGCAGTAGAGAGGCGCCAACGCAAGTCTCGGTATCCAAGAGACACAAGTGCTTCGTCACTGACGTCTCGAGTGGCCAAAGTGTTCAGTTAAAGCGTGGAGACGCTGTTCTTTGGTTGTTGCTGGCGAAGGAGTATCGAATTTCGGCCAGAAAAGCCGAAACGCGTCTCCAGCGCTGGATC